AGATAAAGTGGGACTTTTTATTTTTATTTTTATTTTTTTTGAATGGGATAATGATGACTATATTCTTGACTAGGCTTTTTGCGTAGTACACGCAACTTTTGATTTTATTCTACCAAAAAGTCAATTATTTTTCTTTTTCACTCTAAATACCGTGCAAAAGTTCTCATTATTTATCCTAGAAAATATAGATACGCATATACGCCTGCATCAACAACGTAAGTAGAAAATAAAGATGTTTGAACATGATTTTGATTTTTGCGTTTTAAAAAAACTAATCTAACAAGGTAGGATTATACATCGAGTAGTTTGTTCTATTTAATTTTATTTCTTTATGTGGATAAATGTTATGCTAATGAAAGATATGATATGGGACAATATGGTCATCCGGTACCAAATATATGATATATTATGAACTTTTACCTGTTCTAAAGATATGATATGATGATATGATTATTTTGATACAGGAATTGATAATTTATTCGGAATTGCTCAATTACCCGTATTCAATTGAGTATTCTCATATGCTCATCATTTTTTCCTACCTCTTAAGATTAGAATGAGTCGTTGGTTGGCTGAAAATGAGGTGTAATTGTTATACTAGGATCCATTGGATTCAAATATTCAATAAATTAAATCCGTTGTAACGTGACTAAAATTTTATTTTCTACAATAAATTTAATTTCATTATGTTATGGACCTCTCTTGTTTGAGGAATTTGAAAAATATTATATTTGATTATTTTTATTTTTCAAACTAGTATTATATTTTTATTTGTCAAACTTTTAAAATGATGTATGATTTGTCACTTGAGTATGGTTTTTGGAAATTAGTACAGGAAGTGGGTTTTTTGGAGTTGACATATCGTGATTGTTCACGAGAGATTGGAACAATTTTGATTGTAAGTTCCTGTGCATAGAGATGACTTTAGTGTGAATTATTTTGTGCTATCAAACGGATTCTTCATGTTCGTAGTAAATTTTGTGCTGAATTATATGATTTTTAAATATGTTTATTGATGTATAATGATGTTTAACATAATAGTCTATTTTAAACGTTTCAATCAAATAAAGATTTAAGGGTCTGTTTGACAGACAAATGTGGAAATGAATTTCAATTCCATGTTAGTTGGAAAATAAAAATCCACCAAATCCGTAGGAATTCGTTTTCCATGAAAACAAAGAAAATGCAGATTAAAGTAGTTGTACCTTAGAATTCGGTTTCCATTTCCACGTTGCAATCAAACGATCAAAGTGAAATTCGTTTTTCTCGAATGTGACATTCTCTATGAAATTTGTTACAATCAAACATGGCATAATTGTAATTTATTATGTGTGTTCCCAAATCCTTAAATTGTAGATAAAATATTTATTTGATCTTTCCGAACATAGAGGAATAAGATAAGATGTAGAAAAATCTTTATTCTTTTCTTGTTACAAATAAAGAATATTAGATTTTACCTTGAGTAAGCCATCTTTACATAAATTATTATTATTTGTCATGTTAAGTTTTAATTGAATATTTGGTAGCCATTTAAATTCTAAAATTTGGATCGCTACAATTGGTGTGTTGATTCGTTGTGACACTTGCATTGTCTCCATACTTCGGACTCCATCGCTCCATTGTAAACGTGAGGTCCTTTCCTTGGTGGCACTTCTACAAGGATCTCAACGCATCTTTAGTACCAAATGATGTAGCGAAAGCAAACAAAACCCAATTACACGATCAACATAACCCATTCATTCGATGAATGCCGGGAAAATGTATTTTAACAGCATTCTCTAAATAAAATAATTCTATACGTAAATTCAAAACTCTTCTTACTTTTAACCACACAAAAATCACTATTATAAAACAAGTTAAACTTTGTAAAAAGATATATTAATCAGCTGAATGCTTAATACAATACAAATGAAGATGAGGTGAAATTTATACA